CCCCAAAACCCCAAAACCCCTTGAGTTTGAAATATATGTATAACTAGATTTTAAACATTTTAAGTTAAAGTATATTTCAAATGGAAAGATCATAATAGAGCATAGAGGTTGGAGCTATTAACACCAACGATAAGGAAACTCCGGTCTAATTCGATAAACTTGTGGAATAATTCAAAGCTCAGTTCTACAAGGATGAATATGAGATCGGAGAGGCACTCTTAGATCATTTTGAAAACTTACTTCCTTTTTAGAAAGTACTCGATAGAGAACAGAACCCCATCGGCTCAGATAATGATGAGGTGAAAGCTTTTCTTGAATCAGAGGAAGTAAAATGTATTAGAGAGGATAGAGAACTCTTCCATTACTTCTTTGAGCAAATATAGCCTGAGACTCCATGGACTAGCTATTACGATGAACCAACTAGAAAGATCAAGTATAAATACGAAGATGGACTCAGACTTGTAAGTTGTCTGTCAGAGGCAGTAATCAATTCTCCATTAATTAATGTTCTTTCCTTGTTCGGCGAGATAGACATGTTCAAAGACTGGTTCCCCAATGTGACTGAGTGTAAAATAGTTAATCAAGTCACGAACTACAGGGGACTGTTCAAATGTAAGCAAACAATGCCCTGGCCCGTATGGCCAAGAGACATGATTTTCAAAGGGACAGGAATGTTTGATCGTAAAACAAAGTCTTGTCTTCTGGTAGTAAAGTCCATTGATGAGGACGTTCCTTACTTTGGAGTCCCTGCCCCCAAAACTGAGTAAGGGCACGTGAGATTAGATATCAAGAGAGGTTATCACTATTTTTAGAAAATAAGTGACACTTAAACTAGATATATCGCACTTTTCAACTCAGACCCAAAGCTAACATTCATGCCTAACTGGTTTATGAATTTTATGATGACGAAGGTTTGTTATTAGATGCTTGAGATCATTGAGAAGAAGTCTAAATAAGTACCAACTAACGAGTACAACCAGAGAATCTTGAAGAGATCAGATCTCTATGGCAAGATTCAAAAGTATTTAGACGAAATCGATGAGAAAGAGGAGGCTCCCTTGTCAGTAGAGGATGTCTAGTAGAATAAATGAGGCTTAGACCTATGAATTTAGATAAAACAACTGGATATAATAACTTACTCAAATAGAGACACACGTATATTTAATCTACTCAATAATAAAATTAAATTTAAATGAAGGATTCTGTCTTTCGGGGTTTTGGGGTTTTGGGGTTTTGGGG